TCGAACAGATGAAAAAATCAAATGGCGATGAATAAACATGTTCAGCATTCTGTTGGTGTTTAGGACACTGAGAAATGCTAACATGTAACTGCTGGGGCCATGTCGATGTCTATCTCAGGTCGGAGTTCAGTTAAGGCTGGCAGAGTACTTGACTCCCGTTTGATTCTACCAACACTATTACTCAACATAATAATTATGTCACGTAACTCTATGCATTCTTGTCTGTTGCTTATTTTCGAAACATCCCACGACGCGTGTTATATTATGCGCGGTAACACACGTGCATGTCGCGATTACGTGTAGTTACATACGGGCTTGTGATAACTTGTGGTAACGTGCGTGCATAGCGTGGTTCAGTGTTGTTACGTACATGCATGTCGTGATTAGATGTGCTAATGTACGTGCATGACGTGATTACGCGTTTACACGTACGTACATGTCGGGATTACGCGTAGTAACGAAGATGTGAACAGTTCACCAATAATGTAGACGTATTAATGTCATATAGTTAGACATTAGGTCCCAGTAGAAGCATTGCTCTATATATATGCTAGGCGGACTCATGTGTACTAGGTACGTGTGTTGGGGTTCGTGTGTACTAGGTACGTATGTTGGGGTTCGTGTGTACTAGGTAGTGTGTTGGGTTTCGTGTGTTGGGGTTCGTGTGTACTAGGTACGTGTGTTGGGGTTCGGGTGTACTAGGTACGTGTGTTTGGGTTCGTTTGTACTAGGTACGTGTGTTGGGGTTCGTGTGTACTAGGTACGTGTGTGGGGGTTCGTGTGTACTAGGTACGTGTGTTGGGGTTCGGGTGTACTAGGTACGTGTGTTGGGGTTCGTGTGTACTAGGTACTTGTGTTGGGGTTCGTGTGTAGTAGGTACGTGTGTTGTGGTTCGTGTGTACTAGGTACTTGTGTTGGGGTTCGTGTGTACTAGGTTCGTGTGTTGGGGTTCGTGTGTACTAGGTACTTGTGTTGGGGTTCGTGTGTAGTAGGTACGTGTGTTGGGGTTCGTGTGTACTAGGTACGTGTGTTGGGGTTCGTGTGTACTAGGTAGTGTGTTGGGTTTCGTGTGTTGGGGTTCGTGTGTACTAGGTACCTCTATTGGGGTTCGTGTGGACTAGGTACGTGTGTGGGGATGCATGTGTACTAGGTTCGTCTAGTGGGGTTCGTGTGTAGTAGGTATGTGTGTAGCTGTTCGTGTGTGCTAGGTAGTGTGTTGGATTTCGTGTGGTGGGGTTCGTGTGTAGTAGGTACTTGTGTTGGGGTTCATGTGTACTAGGTACGCGTGTTGGGGTTCGTGGGGTCTAGGTACGTGTGTTGGGTTTCGTGTGTTGGGGTTCGTGGGTACTAGGTACGTGTGGTGGGGTTCGTGTGTACCCCGTAGTGTGTTGGGTTTGGTGTGTTGGGGTTCGAGTGTACTAGGTAGTGTGATGGATTTAGTGTGTTGGGGATCGTTTGTACTAGGTACGTGCGTTGGGGTTCGTGTGTTTTAGGTTCGTGTGTTGTGGTTCGTGTGGACTAGGTACTTGTGTTGTGGTTCGTGTGGACTAGGTACTTGTGTTGGGGTTGGTGGGTACTAGGGACGTGTGTTAGGGTTCGTGGGTACTAGGTACGTGTGCTGGGGTTCGTGTGTACCCCGTAGTGTGTTGGGTTTCGTGTGTTGGGGTTCATGTGTACTAGGTACGTGTATTGGGGTTCGTGTGTAGTAGGTACGCGTGTTGGGGTTCGTGTTTACTAGGTACGTGTGGTGGGGTTCGTGTGTACCCCGTAGTGTGTTGGGTTTGGTGTGTTGGGGTTCGAGTGTACTAGGTAGTGTGATGGATTTAGTGTGTTGGGGATCGTTTGTACTAGGTACGTGCGTTGGGGTTCGTGTGGACTAGGTACTTGTGTTGGGGTTCGGTTGTACTAGGTACGTGGGTTGGGGTTGGTGTGGGCTAGGTACGTGAGTTGGGGTTCGTTGGGACTAGGTACGTGTGTTAGGTTTCGTGTGTACTAGGGGCGTGTGTTGGGGTTCATGTGTACTAGGTACGGGTGTTAGGGTTCGTGCGTACTAGGTACGTGTATTGGGGTTCGTGTGGACTAGGTACGTGTGTGGGGATGCATGTGTACTAGGTTCGTGTGTTGGGGTTCGTTGGGACTAGGTACGTGTGTTCCCGTTCGTGTGTACGAGGTACGTGTGTTGGGTTTCGTGTGTTGGGGGTCGTGTGTTGGGGTTCGGGTGGTCTAGGTACGTGAGTTAGGGTTCGTGGGGTCTAGGTACGTGTGTTTGGGTTCGTTTGTTCTAGGTACGTGTGTTCCCGTTCGTGTGTACGAGGTACTTGTGTTGGGGTTGGTGGGTACTAGGGACGTGTGTTGGGGTTCGTGTGTACTAGGTACGTGTGTTGGGGTGTAATGTGGTACTTATTATTACCACCGGCTGGTTCCCATTACCGAGTCTTGCTCCCAAATGTTTACACCATTTCTACTTAATGTTTGTCTTTATTGTTACGGTAATTGGAAAACTCTTACAAAAACTCTAAAAACTCTAATACTTTTTAAGTTGATCACTTCACTCTCGGGGTCCTATGCACTGCTATATGTGCCGACACAGATGTGAGACGGGCGGTGGAACAATTCCGGGTACCCATTGCGGGCTGTGTTTACCCGTGGGAATAACCCCTCCCACTGAAAGGACATTATACACGTGCGAAATTCCCTATCATAGGAATTTATGGTCCCTACATGTGTGACCGTCCTCATCTACAGACAGATATTATTTAGTCATACATGTACAATGTACCTGTGATATTATCCTATGTGGAGAATACCTCAAGTGCCACCATTGCCACCCTACTTTACCACCACGCTTTGCGTTCTATTTTTATCAGGATCAGAGAGCTAATAGCTAATTGGTCATTTGGTTATAATCTGGGTGTAGTTGTACATTGTAATTAGGAAGGGTTGGTAAAGGTATTGGGTGGGCTTTGCTGCCAGGCCGGTGAGGGATTTCGCGAGCCGGAGGGGGATGTCATTGGGCTAGGCACGGTTCCAGTGTAATTAACGTGTTGAGTTACCCGTCACAGACTACCAGGGCGTCTTCCCACATAGACATTCATAAATTAATCTTGATGTTGACACTGTCTCATACTCTCACACGACTGAATCACCTCCTTACTGAACTCGCTCAAAATCGGCAAGTTCCAGAGACCTAGGTTAGGGGACTCACTTTTTCTAGTCATGGTGTACTCTCTCGTTTTGACATTGTATACAATAACGTTACATGTGCTGTGTTATCTGGACAGGCCATGGTAAATATGTACATATACATAGGTAAGCTCCGCTTTTTACTGTTAACCCCTGTCTGAAGCCACTTGCTTATTTTAAATGTCTTTTTTTGGTACAACCCCCATTGTGTATTCGATTAAATAACCCGTAAACTATCTTTTATGATTGTTTCATGAACATGTTTGTTATGATTTCTCCGTTAATAACCTATAAACAAACAGACCAATCAACAGTAACGGTCATTGGTATGAAAATGCATGACTCTCCTCTATGTATGTAGTTTCCTCCGTTACCAAGATGTTAATCTACACGACCAATGTTCATGTTGTAGCGCTGATTTGTTGTTTTGTTGCAGTCGTTCTACTTAACCCATGAGACCAATATTGTAAAATCTCAAGTGACCTATTGCGATCGCCTTTTGTCCGGCGTCGTCCGTCGTGCGTCCGTAAACAATTTACATTTTCGACTTCTTCTCCAAAATCCCTGAACCAATTTCAATGAAATTTTGCAGAAACCTTCCATGGCCAAAGGTCAACAAAAATAGTGGCCGGTTTGGTCCCAAGCCCCCAGGGGCCTGAGGGGCGGGGCAAAAAAAGGTAAAATTGACTAAAATTTCAAAAATCTTCTTCTCAATACCCAGATAGGGTAGAATCAAATACTCTTCATAGCTTGAAGGGTCTTAAGGTGCTTTACCAAAATTGTGAATTTCTTGACCCTGGGGTCTCACGTTTCCCCCTGGGGAGGGGGTAAACTTTACTATAGTTTATATAGGGAAATCACATTTTGGACCAACATTTGTTTAATTTCCATTGGAAGTAATTCAATTAAAGTTAGTATTATTAAGGTATTGGATAGCAGTTTGATGGTATGAACATATCGGCCCTGACTGACCCCCCGTGGCTGATGGTTGGGGCCAAAAAGGGTTGAATTGACTGAAATTTCAAAAATCTTCTTCTCCCCCTGGGGAAGGAGGGGGGAGGGCAAAATTGATTATGGTTTATAAGGGCAAATGATACTTTGAATATTACATGTTAATAACTGGATGGAATTATAACCCTGAGTTGACAGTTTGATACTTTGAAAATTTTGAGCAAGCCCTACCTCAAGGGCTGTAGGGTGGGGCCCAAAAGAGTCAGTGTGCTAAAATTTCTTCATTTTCCTTGTTTAGAATCGGAGGTGCTAGTTTCAAATTCTTTTTAGTCTTAAATCTGTATGCTAGATATTGAATAAGGTGGGGGTTTTTTGGTTTTTTTGTCACTTTGAATACTATTTCTGTTCATGTTAAAAACCAAATCAACTCTCTGTATAAATATATCAGGTGACTGTTAAGGCCCATGGGTTTTTTGGGTTTTTTTACATGAACAATGTTGAACTGTTGCACTTGTTCTTTCCTTACGGGAACAATGCTGTTGTTCTGCTGTTCTGTTGTTTTGCTGTTCCTCCCTTACGTGACGAGAGTTGAACTGTTGTTCTGTTATTGTAGTTGTGCTGTTGTTCTGCTGTTCTGTTGTTTCGCTGTTCCTCCCTTACGTGACGAGCGTTGAACTGTTGTTCTGCTGTTCTGATTCTTTGCTGTTCCTCCCTTACGTGACGAGCGTTGAACTGTTGTTCTGCTGTTCCGTTGTTTTGCTGTTCCTCCCTTATGTGACGAGTGTTGAACTGTTGTTCTTCTGTTCTGTTGTTTTGCTGTTCCTCCCTTACGTGACGAGTGTTGAACTGTTGTTCTGTTATTGTAGTTGTGCTACTTTACCTACGGGACCAAGGATGTGATGGAGCGGGAGTGTAAATATCTGAACAAGAAGATTACGGTTAGTATCGCCTGTCGTTTATAAATGTAAACTGATTATAGTTTCCTTTCTTTTATGTTTAGAGTCGTGTAACCGACACAAAGCGTTTGGTGCTACATCAACTACGGATTGCGCATCTCTCACTATACAAATATAAAATTTGGACTTGTAACTATGAAATATTTTCACAATTTTTAGCTCATCTGGTCCGAAGGACCATAGTGAGCTTATGCCGTGGCGCTGCGTCCGTGGTCAACTTTTTTCTTTAAAACCTATCTCCTCCTAAACGCCAAAGAGGATTTTAACCAAATTTAGTCTGAAGCATCACTAGGGGAGGCAATCATTTCTTTAATAAATGAGGTTGGTTCGACCCCTGGGCCAGGGGGGCGGGCCCTGAAGGGGAACTTACCTAAATTTGCTTTAAAACGCATCTCCTACTTAACGCCAGTGAGGATTTCAACCAAATTTAGTCTGAAGCATCACTAGGGGAGGGAAATGATTTCTTAAATAAGTGAGGTTGGTTCGACCCCTGAGGCC